TTTGAAATGCATCTTACTTGAGGAATTGTTTTAAGAACCATGGATGTTTACCCTTGAATTTGAATTTGAAAGGTTTGTGTTAGTTATTATTAAATATGTAAAAAAGTGATGCTGGGTATGTCTTTTTGTTTTTGTTGTTTTTGGATACCTAGATTTCTATACGCATTAAGAATAAAGGACTCAGATCAGTAGATGGAACTTAGGAAGAGACATATTCCAGGCCAATGGATAGGCAGACATTTGAAGTGTCTAAATATATACCTGCCCTGTTACATTGAGGCTTACCACGATCAGTGGACAGTTCCATGTCTGAAATAGAGAGGGAATTTGGTGCTGTGCCTTCTCTTCCAAGTCTCAGTTTCTTCCATTTATGGGTAGAATTAAATAAAAACAGAGTTTCTCAGCAATCAGACTGTTCTCTTCTAACTTCTTTATAAGCATTCCAGATGAAGAGGACACGTAATTGAAATTATGTATGCTAAATAAAGAATTCTTAGCTTTTACACTCCCCTGCTCTCTCCTTCCCCGCGCCCCCCACACACATACACCATGCTGCCCTAGAGAAATGGATTTTTTATCTTTGTCCTTTCTCTCTCTTAAGGACATCAGATCAGAATAAATGTGTAGCCAATAAAGCCAACAGTACGTTTGAAACTATTAACAAGGCAAATGCAAATACAGAAAACTTGAGAAACCTTTATTTAACCCATTTATTTCCTTAGTATCTGGAATCCCACATGTGGTTTTAGTCTCCACATATCAGAAAAGAGGTACTGAAATGTAGAGAGGGTGACCTATAGGTCAGAGGGATGAGCTGATGGCCACTTGACACCTTGCTAAAAAACTGACTTGCAGAGCTCAGGGAGGCTGTTAAAAAAAAGCTTAAAACTACTCACTATTTGGACAATAGGAAGTAAATTTCAAAAGCTTAGAACAATGGGGATCTCTTTAAAACTTTTAATGACTTAAGTTTAGGACTGAAGGGTCCCAGGTTCGATTCCGGTCAAGGGCATGTACCTGGGTTGCAGGCACATCCCCAGTAGGAGATGTGCAGGAGGCAGCTGATCGATGTTTCTCTCCCATCGATGTTTCTAACTATCTATCTCTCTCTCCCTTCCTCTCTGTAAAAAATCAATAAAATATATTTAAAAAAAAAAAGCTTAGAACAATGGGAATCTTTAAAACTTTTAATGACTTAAGTTTAGGACAAATAAAAAGAATTACATCTTCATAAACCAGATGAGTTGCTAATTAAATAGTATATGCAAGAAATTCCCCAAAGGATTTCTGGATATTTGTGGAAGGCAGAGTCATAGTACATGACTACTAAGAGAGGCTGAGCTATGCCCAGCTCTAGGACTTTGTTATGGAGGATACTGCCTCCCTCCAAGTTTCTTGGCTCCTCCTACTGATGACATCTATTCTGGCTTTAATACTCCATTGTTTCTAACAAAGAATGACAAACCTCATCTTATAAAAATATTAAGTGTTACTGGAATATTAAATTTTATTGAGATTTGAATCCTCACTTGAATTTGATTTGAATTTTAACTAGTAGAGTTGATATTAGAAAACAGAATCCAAGATCTCAGTCACATTGAGGCAGCTGCATTTTCTCCTACATACTCCTAAGTTGTAATTGTGCAAACCTCTCCAAAATACCTTGAGTGCTTTTTTTCTTGAGGCCCCATATGTTGGTTGAAGCCTAAGAGACCCCTGAGCATTATCATGTTTGAGTATATCAGCACACTTGTCATCAGCTAATTAAATCTCCTGAAACTGAAACTTGTGCAAATTCCTTTAAAAAACTTCTCAATAAAAGCCACTTTCTCACAACTCATGTTTTACCTGCTATATGGAGATTTAAGGTTCTCCATCAATCATTTCAGGCTTGATTTCAATCGAGGTGCTTAAATCTCTAAAGTGTATATGTGAAAGCACTCTTCTAGAATTCTTAGAGTTTATGAAGCTAACTAAAAACACTAAGTTTGCATTTTTGGCCAGGTGAAACATGGAAATAGCATTCTTAAACAGGCTCTTCCCAGTGCTAGAGATAAGAAAACAGCATATGTGCCACATGTTTGCACAGCAAGTACAAGATGTCATGCTGGAATTTGCAAATGTGTGCTTTGTGTTCTGTGCTGTGTCATTACTGAGAGAACTCTGAAAATAAGACTGTATTTTCAGAACTTTTAGATCACAGTTTGGGTGATTCCAATGTAGATCTTGGCTGTTTTTCTGTTGACATTTTTGTTGTAAATCATCCTGTTTTATGAAACTTCATTTAATTTTTTAATGAGCATGCACATATTTATGACTTTCATACAGTAAATCAGAAATGCCCTAGCTGTGTGCAATTTTAGAGCTGATGCCATTTCTCTATATGTATTCTCCATGATAAAGAGATGGGTATAGGTAATGAGTGGACTATTGCTTCGTGGGTTGATAGTTACTTATGGAAACGTGTGCTGAAGACCATCAATGTAAAAGAAAATTGTTTCTTCCCATATTTCCTTCCCAACAAGTGGCATAAGGCTATATTTTGGACTGTCATAGATCTTGTGATGAAAGTTAATGAATTTAAACTCTATTAATCCCAAAGATATACATTAAGATCTCTAGCAGGGCTATGAAATTGGATTTTAGGTTTTATATTAAATTATAACACCACAGTCTCAGTGAAGCATTTGAATTCATATGTCAGAGAGAAAGTCAGGAAACCATAGTGTGTACTCTCCTATTTTCTGCTGTTGCAATGACAACCTCTCAAGATTTTGATAAGCATTTGTATGGTATGTCCTATACATGTGAACGTGTGCTAACAGAGGCACTGTTACTTAGTAACACATTTTAATCCAGAGCTAATTCCTCCTTGGTCAATGCAAGCCAGAGCATTGCTGAAGATGAAATTTTTATTATATGAATGTGAATTCAGATATGCCAGGAGGATGAATTCTAGATGTGGCATAGTTCAGTATTCTCTTCTTCAGCAAATATTTTTCAATAATAGCTTTTGAGATATATTTGGTGTCAAGTTGAAAAATCATTCCCCCACCAGATGTCAGTGGCACTTGTATTTCCCCTCATAATCTTTCCATGAAACCAGCAGAAAGATTACCCCATGTTGTCTGTTGCTTCTATTAATCAGTGTCATGCTGTCTAATGCTTCAGAGAAGAATATCTTTATTTTTTTTCTTTCCAGGGAACCTTTTTGATCATGTGGGACTGAACCAACTAAAAATAAAAGGCTATTTTTAAAACATTCCCTTTAGTTTTAAGATGTTCAAAGATACGGGCTAAATATTGTCATGTGATATGGAGGGGTTTTTTTTCACTGCTTTGGGGAAATTTTATTTTCAGGTCTCCCTTTAGCCATATAGTTATGTTTTGATCTCAAGCAAGAAATAAAATTATCTTCTCATTATAAGATGCCTCATAAAGTTACAAGGGAAACCTTGAAGTAATTTTTACTATCCTAATAACTCTAATCTAAAAGTGTAATTATGAAACACTTAGAAATACTTAATAATAAATGTTCAGAATCCATGGTTTAAAATAGTAAAATCTTTAAGACTAAGTATTATAAATACATGAATTTCTCCAAAAATAATGTATCATTTTATGCCATTCTTATCAGGATCCCAATGTCATCATTTTTTAATAATTTTTTTTAAATCCTCACCAGAGGACATGTTTTTTTATTGATTTTTTAAAGAGAAAGGAAAGGAGAGAAACATTGATGTGAGAGAGAAACATTGATCCATTGCCTCCTGTACAAGCCCTGACCAGGAATTGAACCTCCAACCTCAGTATGTGCCTTGACAGGGAATCAAACTCCCAACCTTTTGGTGTATGGGATGATGCTCCAACCAACTGAGCCACCTGGCCAGGGCAGGGTCATAGTATTGATTCGTTTATCGTGAGGCAGACACTTCTCAAAGTTATTATGAAGGTCTCAAACAAAAGAAGAAAAAGGAGAACAGTCATGTAATGGCAATATCTAAGAGCATATGGGCCCCAATGATCACAACAGTATTGTATGGATCCAGGAATTAATAGAGAAGCAAAGAAAAAAAATGTAGTTCAAAAATGGCATTGATTAGGTTGCCTCTCTTGAAGATGGATTAATCTTGCTCTCTATGGAGAAGTGAGCAAAAAGACACTGTGATAGAGACTGTTATGCTCGCCAGATATCCATGTTCTCCTCTATACTTCCCCGTTTCAGTTGGGCCAGGTTCCTATCATTGATTAAGGCCAGTGAGATGTATCCAGAAATGATGCAAGCTGTTTCCATACCTTGCTCTCTCAGATATCCTGCACAATCTAGCAACCCTCTCCCGCCCTGTCCTTTGTGAGTGTGGAGGCCACATATTTCAGATGTGGCTGAAATTTGCAAGCAACCTGGATCTCTGCGTCACCTCTTAGACAAGAGCACTTTCAGTGCACACTGCCTAACCAGCAGCGCTCTGTGACCAAAGCAAAAAATAAACAGTTGTTGTATTTTTAAAAATTCATAGGCAGATAAAATGATAGATCTACATAGATTCCTGCATAACACAAAACAGTTTTGTCTTATTTAACTCTTTTTAAAGATTGACAATTTAATTTAAAAATGATTATTAAAAAGAAGCTGCGTTTGGGCTGGGCTTTAAGAGGCAGGGGTGGGTGGGTGGGAAGAGATCAACCAAAGAACTTGTATGCATATATGCATAACCCATGGACACAGACAACAGGGTGGTGAAGGCCTGGGACTGAGGGTGGGGGAGCCTAGAAGGGGCTAGAATGAGGGAAAGAGGGGGACATATGTAATACTTTCAACAATAATGATTTAAAAAAAAAAGAAAAAGGAAGAAGCTGCAATATGTTTTTAAAAACATAACATGATTAGTTACCAAATCTCACATTTGGGGAGGGGGAGGGGCTCCAAATAAGAAAATAGTAAAAATAATTCCCCAAAAGAAGCAGCTGTATGATTGATGTTCTTCACTCTCCTTTACCAGGTGTTCCAGGGCAATTTTGACAATGACACTCACAGGAAAAACGTCATCGACCCTCCCATCTATGCGCGGCACATAAGGATCCTTCCTTGGTCCTGGTACGGGAGGATCACGCTGCGGTCGGAGCTGCTGGGCTGCACAGAGCAGGAGTGAGGACACCCACACCCACGACCCTCCTCTCTGTTCCCTCCTCTCTATCTCCATGGAATGAACTGTGCGAAATCTGTAGGAAACTGAATGGGGTTTTTCATGAAAAAGTGCTCAAATTATGGTAGGCCACAAACTATCTTTTTAAGGAGGTCTAAGCCTGCCTTTTCAAAGGTTTAATTTGATTTTTATTATTTAAATTTCTTAAGCAACATCACATTAACTGTGAATTACTTTTCTCACGGTTTCCAGAATCATTCACAATGGTTGAAATATATTAGGGAAAGAGAGTAGCAAGGTTAAAAAATCTCATAGTTATCAAGTAAAAGCAAGAGTTTATAGAGCTTTTATAATCAATGCACAACCAGTTCTTATCAAAAGAATACTACAATGTTAGCAATAAGATTTTTTTTCTTTCTGTAGTGACTCTACATTATCCTAATTGTTTCCCTGTGCCTACCAAACACTGTCAGTGTTTATAACAGAATTTTGAAGAAGAATTTGTAACATGCAGTACTAATTGATAATTGATATTATAATTCTCACTTTACTTTTTCTAATCAGACATCATGTGATCTTTTTTTGGTTCTATTTTATATTCTTTATATTGTATATTGCCTAAATGAGTTCACATTTTTCCAATTGAGTTTCTTTCTATTATTTGCCTAAGAAGTATCATTGTTTACATATGGAACATGATTGAAAATGAGTAGATTGATCATAATTAATCTCAGTAGATTGAATATGAAATCTATTTTTGAAGGAGGCTATACCTATGTAAATTCCAGATACTTCCTTTATAAAAAAATAATATTACCATTTTGGAAAATAAAAAAGAACAAAGTTGTATTATGTTCCTTTAAAACCAAAATTTTTATCTTCATTTCCATGGTATTTATATAGCCTTATCTTTACTTTAACATAATAGAATGCTGAAGCCTTTGTTTGTCTATTAAAAATATTTTAACAAATGTTAACATAGTGCTGCATAGCTTGGCCAAGCATACTCATTATTTCTTTGTTCATCTCTGCACTTTCTGTGAAACCAGAATTCTATTAAGATTTGAAACTGGTGGTGGTTTCCCAGGAAAGCACATTGTGTAGTTATTTGTGAGAAGAAAAGTACTTACTAATGGCAAAGTAGTAAACCATTTTCAAGATGAAAATTGATTTCTATTTATTTTGCTTCAAAGGTCCTGAAAAATAAGCAATTATCATAACAATTTGTTATTGATAATGGAGGTTTCATTGACACATTTCTCAAATTAAAGCTCACGCTGCCTCCATAAAAGTCCTCAATATCTAATTTATAAGCTTTACAATTATTTCTTTTATAAGGCTTAGACACAGAATTATTGGAGTTTTAAATTAAGGGTCCTGGAAAAGAAAGTACAGTGTGTGTACGAAATGTTGAGGTCCTGTGCAACAATCCTAAGTTTTATTTTTCCTTTTATAATTTGTGCTGCATAACAAAGCCACTAGAATGTTACTGTCTTGTCTGTCCATGTGTTATTAGCATTTCTTAATGATGTATATATGGAGTGGTCTTATAGTGAAGGATTTAAAGAGAAAGTCAATCATAATGGTATTTTTAATAAGAGCAAAATTAGGACTGTCTGGCCACATATTTGTCCTATGCCCATATACTTTCTACTTAAGGCTCTTAATACCATTAATTTGAAGCATCTGAAATAGTGATCAGTTTTCATCATCTTTCAAAAACAAAATTGCCATGTCTTCAATATTGTTTTTAAGTGATAACTTTAAAGTTAGGAACTTAAATATTTTTAATTTGCTAAATTTTAAAGTCATGTTGCAAATAATTACTTAAGTCCAAAAATATACACATAGATATGTGTATATTTTTGGACTTAATTAATTATTCTTCTTTAAAATTTTACTGTCTGACCAAATTTCTAGATGTTTTCCTTTGTAGATGATGAAAAATTATCATTCTTTACTGAATGTTTTAAAAATTATAATTCTTTGTAATGACTTACTTTTTCAAAATTATTCATGGCTTCCTATGATACTTTGATTTCATTCTATTGATAGCTTTTTAAGCAAATATTTTCAAAGGGAGTTTATTAAAAGTATATTTGTTACCTTTTAGAAATACAATGAAATGAATTTCTCTTGCTTGTGCATTTTCTCTCTGCTGCTTTAAATGCTCTTCACCAACATGGCACAATGAATGGAATATTTATTTGTCCACAGTGCTCAAAATTCATGACAATGATGAGATTTTGACATGTGGAAATGTTACTAATTATTGTGAAGTGATATGTAGCTTTTATGTCACTTGTATCAGTGACATCAAAGTGAAGTAAATTTACTCTATTTAAATTCACATTAAAACAAGTGAAATTGCATAAGCATAATATACAGAATTCCCTAGTATTCATCACATTGAGTAATTATAGTATGGTAATTTTATAATCTATGAAATTAACATTTTAAACATCTCCAATTATATTTATGTCTTGTTAAAAGCCTTTATCATAGTCACTAATTCTAATATTAGGATTGACTTTCTCTTTCTTTATGACTTCATAAGGACTGTTGTGAATTTTGAAGACTTAGGGTACTAAGATTGTACCTTTGCTAGCCAGCAAATTATGAAATATAATACTGCTGGCATCTGATGTGTCAGTAAGTACAGAAATAACTAATACACAAATAACCTTTGCAAACATTCAAGCTGTGTAATATTCCAATGTTGTTGTTTTTCTTTGTATATATACTTAAATAATGTAGGATGTTGTAAAATCAGTATGACCTTGTCTAGTCTTCAAACTTAAAATAAAACTTTTGAAAATCTGGGATAATTTTGGAGCAGTTCTAATTAAACACATTTTTAAGAATATACAAATTGTCTGAATATGAATGCCCATTACTCTTTAACTAGTTGCTTGGTTTACTTTTTTCCTTTTTGTACAAGACAGTTGAAAAATACAGGAAGGTATAGAAATTACAATAGGCTCCAAATATACATTAACGTCAGCAAAACTGGCCTATCCAAAACAAAATCATTAAAATGTGTGCATTTCTTTTTGCTCCTTTTAGCTATGGAAATTTTATTGGAATTCTAATCATCCAAAGTCCTTTCTTAACGTAACACATATTTAAAGTATGGATCTGCTTATTGTTAATCAGATGCTATTATTTCGGTTGTTTTTTAAGTACATGATTCTCAGTAGTAAAATGAAGAGATCTAGTCAAGTAAGCAGTAACACAAACATTAATATGTATTTACCCATATAACTCAGTTATTGCTTAAGGAGAATCATAACACTTGGCTTTTTCATAAACCCTCTCTGGAAGTCACTGTAAAATATTAAGTCTGTGTACTTCCCACAGTTTAGACATTTTCTTAGATTTCAAAAAAATCCTATATAATAAAGAGGTAATATGCAAATTAACCATCACTCCAACACAAAGATGGCCGCCCCCATTTGGCCACAAAATGGCCATCAGGGGAGGGCAGTTGTGGGCAATCAGGCCGGCAGGGGAGGGCGGTTAGGGGAGACCAGGCTGGCAGGGGAGGGAAGTTGGGGGCGACCGGGCCGGTAAGGGAGTGGTTAGGGGACAATCAGGCACGCAGGCAGGGAGCAGTTGGGAGCCAGCAGTCCTGGATTGTGAGAGGGATGTCCCAGACTCCCCTTCTCTCCCCACAGTGCACTAATTTCATGCACTGGGCCTCTAGGAAGAAAATAACATAAAATATTAAATGTTGACTCCTTAGTTGAGCTTCAGTAGATCTCTGATAGTTCTCAGTACTAACTTACTATATGTGTTTATGTATCCATATATGTTCCATTTAACTGCATTTAATGTGAATGGTTCAGTGGGGTTCCATTGCTTGCCTAATTTTTGCACACACAAAAACCTACAGAAATATGCTTTTACTAAATAAAATCAATTATATATATATATATTGTTTTTTAATAAGACCAATAAAGAATCATGACAACATGTATACAAAGTAAACATTCAATGAGATAAAAGAATAATTATTCAACAGAAAATTTTCAACTATGAGGCTTTTAAAATTACTGATTCATGATGTAAAAATAATAGAAACAGAATTTTGAGAAGGAAAGTCTGACCATGTTAAAACTTTTTTAAAAAAAATCTATTAAGATGAGTTCATGAATAGGAAATATTCTCTATATAACCTAACATTTTAAAATGTCTAACACTTCAGCTTTGAATACATGATTTTAAGTAAAGATTTTGGTAAAGATATATGAATGTTTACTGTCAGAAATGCAATGCTCTCTATTTCTCCCTTCCTGAAGGATAGTTTAAACAATATTGGCAACTGAGTTAGTTGGTAATTTATTTGTGAAAAATATTGCCTCTTTCCTTTGAGATGCAATAGGACCCTTTCACCTGAGCCAATAAATGGAGGATTAAACCACATTGCTAGTTGAGAAATATCTGAACTACCCTGGAACAAAATGTATTGTCATTTTTCTTTACGGAGAAAAAATACCTAGTGCAAGTACCATTTTTTCTATTGATTTTGAAGAGGGGAATAGGGTTCTTTGATTCTGTTGTAGTAAGTGGCTATAATTCATATTGGATGTTTCAACATTGTCACCAAATAGTGTTTTCCACAGTAGGCAAGTGGCACTTACTCCAAAAGATATTTCTATTAGATGAATTTGGTAGCAGAGATAGGAGAACATTTTTGAAAAAGGCTCTTCATTTAGTTTTTTTTTTCTTTTTTTTTGCACATCTTGGCAGGAGTTGATCAAATCATTTGCAAACAGTAATGTTGTGGAAATACGGGATAGTGCATCAGCAAATGGTCACCATATTATCAGATTAGGCACTGCATATGGTAACTGCTTCTGATTTAATTTTATTTTAATGTCCTCACAGGCATGGACTACACTTTCATATTTATTTAAAATCCCCATAGCACCATTTATATGCCCACACATGGATATGTTAATAATAATGATGAATTGCGACATAAGCTCAACCTGCTGCCACCTGGAAAAGTGGTGGCAATGAGATGGATGGTGCGTTCAAGCACGACATCCCCTATGGCCAATATGGAAACAGCTCTGTGATGACTTTTATAAGCATCAGGCCTAGACACTGAGGAGAATTCATTTCAAGATGATTGGGAATAAACTATATGCATGTGACAGAAAAGGAATGTTTTCAGTGATAAGAGACTTAAATGGCATGCACTTTTAAACATGAATTTACACAGTTTATAATTGTTTCACATCTTAGAATGTAGCAGAAATTTAAATTAAAAAAATAATAAGGCCTTGCCTTTTAGTAAAAGGACCACAGCAGGCAGCAGCTATGACAGGCATGGTCATTATGGCTCTTCTCAAGGCCAGTGGCGTTTGCCATGTAGACCCGGGAAAGAGGAATTGAATTGAGAGGTTTAAAATGGCATAATACAAAGGAAGCACTAAGTAATCAACCTGAAGTCATTTAAAGTCCTCAGTTCTCAAGTTTTTTTTAGGTAATAATACTAAAGAAGGCTATTTTTTTTTAAACAGCAGAAGCATCCTGCTATGGTGTGTATGTTTGTGCCCTCCACCAAAATTTATATGTTGAAATTCTAATGCTCAAAGGAGATGGTATAGTAGATAGGGCCTTTGGGAGGTGCTCAGGTCATGAGGGTGGAACCCTCACAAATGGGATTAGTGCCCTGAGGACATAGGAAGAAGTCACTAGCTATGATCCAGGAAGTGAGCTTTCACCTGACCATACTGATACATTGAACTTGAACTTCTCAGCCTCCAGAAGTGTGAGAAATGTATTAATTTATGTTGTTTCTAAGTTACCCAGT